TGCTCTAGTGGTTGGCAACCTTGTCCACAACAGGGGGTTTGATATTAGATGATCTTTAAGGTCCTTCTCAACCCAGGCCAATCTATGATTCTATGATTCTATGAAATGTGTAACTCACAGAAAAGGAAGTATGCAAACTAGCACACACCCAGTAGTAGTAATCTTAGACCAACTTCCTTGTTTAAAATCCATATTAATTTAGTTTCAGAACTTAATTTCTAAATTTCATAAGCACCATTTTTGGCCCTGAAATTGCACTGGGCCTGAGACAATGGGAACAGATTCCACTCTTGTGTTGAATGAAGTTAGCAATGATTTTCTCCCTTTACTACCCCGCCATTACCATTTTTGATGAGGTGAGATATTGCAGAGTTCTAATTTAGAAGTGGAAAGAAACCCTCAAAACACCAAGAGTTTACTTCAGTAACACTATGCTGCAAACAAAGGGAAATTGAATGGAACCTGTCTTACCTCTTCTGATGAGAGGATTTGTATTTTTGTAGATATTCAGGAACAGATTTTTTTCTTATGAAAACTTTTTTATTTTAGACTTTTAGAGACTGAAATATTTGATCAAACAAGGAGTTTTAGAGTTAAATCTATGTCCAATTTTTGAAATAAGATAGATTAAAATATCAATATAATATTTTCAAAGCCACACTGTGTGTAACTGTTTTTCTCTGCTCAGAAAGCATCTCAAACAAATACCACTTCTAAGTACTTTTTTTGCCCTACAAACAGTACTGAGTCAACAAATTCAAACCTCTAATCTCAAGGGAACCAAATGTAACATTAAGCCCAACTACTAAAATAAATGTAAACATAGCCTACATAACATTGGAGTTACCAATATGTCTCCCCTTAAAATGAAAATTAAAATGTCAATAATGAATACATGCAGAAATAAAAGACAGGAGTCATTGTGTTTTCAATGTAATAAACTCCTAAACATATGTAACTTACTCAAGGTAGTTATAGTGAAGACATGCATGTCATCCTCTGTCTAATTTATTTACAAGTATGCTACCATTATAAATTAACATATACATGTGAGCATGGTTTAAATGACTGACAAAACTGAGCAAGAATGTATTACATATACTAGTAGTTACTCTAAACCTTGTCTCAAAATGCATCATCTTTTAATATTTATTTTGCTGTTGGAAATAAACAATTGTTTGTATTTTTGTACAGCTTAACAATAGGGAAAATCAGTCTATTTGTTTTATCTCTTTATTGGAATAAGCAGATCAGATATCTGCGAATTTTACTGCAGATGCAAATTATTTTCCTACAGAAACTTTTTAAGCTTGTGAAGTATTGTTTGACTAATCCTTTGTTGTATTTTCATTTCTGTATCAGCTGAGTTCCCTGCTCAGGACGAGAGAACAAACATTTTCCAACCAAATTCACCTGTTTTTCCTTTAAAGGAAGGGTGGATATCTAGCTTAAGGAGAGAATAATGCATTGCTTCATTTTGTACACAGGAAGATATTCCTAAGTAGCTTTCCTACATTTTTCTATTTTCAAAAAATAGATGTTGACATAGTTATTAACATGCAAATATTAACCTACTCACTGAATCTGATTTATATACGTTAAATATGCTTTTCAAGTTTAAACATTTTCCAGTAAGAAGGATTTCCTTTGAAAAGTCCCTATCTGCTTTATAAAGTCCAACACTACACTGGAGCAGTTGTTGAGAAAGGTGTATCTGATCCTCTCAAGAGAAAAGTCAAGTCCAGATTTGACATCGTAACTGGAACTCATCTTCTATACTATTTATTTGAATATGATCATAAATAGCATCAGAGAATTCCAAGTACAATTGGAATTTGATCTACATTTTAGAAATACCTCCTTCCCCTTAGAAAAGGATTCCATGAGTGCTTGGCTTCACTGATAGCAAAGGTGTCCAGTTTTAATTATCAAAGTTGTAGATGACAAAAAATGTGTAAAAAAGTCTAAACTTAAAAGCGTGGTTAAAAATTGTGCTAAAAATTAACTGATTTTTTTCCAGAACATTTTAACTTTAATTACTTTTAGTATTCTAAAACTAATAACTGAAGTTATACTAAAGACTAGAGCTAACGTCTTAATATATAACATGTAATATACTACAAAATGATAAAGTTATCTGCACGAAATTAAACCTTCCCTAGACTTCAGAGTGAAAGAATTTGCAATAATACTTAACATAGACAGCCACAATTTTATAAGAAAATGTGATCCGTATGAAAGAAGCAGGTGACATTATGGTAATTTAAATTTAAATGTGCTAAGGCCTGTACATTTTTTTATTTACTTTCCAGGATGAAGTACTGTGAATAAGCAACAGTAAAAAGTCACCATTCATCTCTGTCAGCATCACAGTTGCAGTAATACTGGGAATCAATGCAGCTCCTTTCTAATCCACAACCACATTTTTGTACAGCAGGCAAGGAACCTCCCCAGTAAGTCTGTGTTTCATTGGTTCTTCCAATCCACCAGCTCAGTGGCATCCCATCTAAAAGGCAGATTAGAGAAAATGAGTACCAAGTCTCATCTCCTACTTCTCCCAGTTTTTCTCATTCAAAAAAGTTTCCAAAACGTTAAGCAGAGAAAAATCACTCTCAAGTCAAAAAACTTTAAGCAGAAAAAAATAATACTATCTTTACTTGATAAGTAATTATTCATTTTAATACTTCATTATAAGGTATTAAATGATTGTCACAGGTTTTCGCTTGCATTAGTGGAAAAGTGAACTCACAGTCCTTAGCTCAGCCAGCCATGATATTAGAATAATTTATCTTAAGCAGACTGTTTATATAGTTCATCTTAAAATGGTCTATGAAAAAGGAGACGCCATCACCCTAAAAACCAAGGTAGTTTATATTCCCAAGTAGAGATCAATTTCAGATCATGGAAGTAATAGAATGAGAAGAGTTGCAAAAAAGCTATGTGGAAATGGTTTCAACCTGCTACCAAGAGTACTACAGAGCACTACCATCCATATTTGTGACAAACATTAAGCAGATGAATTGCGGTGTTAATCAGAAATGCCCAAAGATGGCTGTCAGGTCATAGGCAGCAGATTAAGAATTTATAAACTCTGAGACAGTAGAAATCACATTAATGGTGCTCCCATCAGCAAGCTGATGTACCTTGTGAGCAGAAGTGAGGTTTCCCAGGACTATTACATCTCTGTGTGGTGCATCCAGTCAGCATTGTTGGCAGCAAAATTATAAAGGATGTTTCTTTAATGTTAGGTACTGCAGATTGAGCTTAAAAATGCTGCCAAGCTACCACGGCAACATAGAAAATAGGTACAGAACAGATAACAGCTAAAAGATATGAAGCATAAAGATAAACCATCTCAAATGAGAAGGAAGAAGGATGGTAGATGCAATGCATGAGAGCCAAGGCATGAGAATAATTCAATTACAGTTAAATTATAGAGTTTCTTATAAATGCACTTCTTTTTGCTGTTGTTGGAGCTCCAAGTTTTCATCAGGAGGCTCCCAGGAAGAAGCTGGAATTTATCCTACTCTCAACTTTACTTACAACTGCCACAGCTTATTAAGCCTCACTGTTAGATAAGACCTCTGTTACGCTGACAATCTCTCAGATGGTAAACATATTGACTGCATTCATTACCACACAACTGTTGGCCCAGCAGGCCTAAAAAGCATGTGAGCAGTTTCTGGAAAATTCAAGCTTGCATAATGGCATCAGTGTACAAGATCAGTTTTTGTGCTTGCAAACCATCACAGGAGGAAGAATACCTAGAGACAGGTTATAAATAATTTATCAGACAGCACTTGAAAAAGCTTCCAACAGATAAGACTGTAAAAAGCAGAATATTTCTGCTGTTTCAACAGCATACCTTTGCTTTATATTGTAGTCATGAATTAATATTCCCAGTCTTTTGCTAGGGACATTGGGGTATGTTTAGAAGCTGCTCTCAGTTATTTGTTCATACAGCAGGGTGAGGAGAGAGTATTTACTGGAATGCTGTAAGTTCATAGTGATTAGCTCAGATTCTGGAATGCTGTAAATTCATAGTGATTAGCTCAGATTGTTATTCCTGCTTTGGCAGAAAATCTAGCCTAAGCAAAATAAAGCTATTAATTAAAATGGCTAGAGATTTCTTCATAATGATCACATAAATGTATTGACAGGTGACTTCTTTAATGACATAATTTGCAAATGCTATCCAGGCTGATTGAACGCAATGTATTCTTAATATACAGTTAAGAATTACTGTGTGTTCCAAAACATATTTCATGTGACCATCATCAAATTTTATACTTGTCAGGTATAGCTAGAGAAGATATTATAGATAGCAGAAGTGGGATTAAATTGTGCAGGCAGTTTGATAATGTGCCTATTGGCATTTCAAATTCTGATATTCCATTGTGCTTGTAATAAATGAAATAAAACAGACTCATTTCAGTAAATTGTTATTTGAATTTTGTTTCAATGTCAGGTATGCTGCAGTTATTAGGTTTTTGTTTGTTTTGTAATTCGGACTATAAAATCATTCAAAGCAACATGTATAAAAATCAGTGAGCAAATACGTATAGGTGATCTTAAACAGCAAAACTTGGTGAAAACTATCATCAGGTGCTGAATAGATGAAATAACAAGGAAGTCATCAAGTCCAAAATTTAAAATTAGATCACTTCACCTTTCTAAACTTCCCTCAAATTTTTAAAGTTTTTGAATTCCAAACAATTTTTATTTTGCTCTCTAAGCTCTCCTAAAGAGGCTGAACACTCCATAAAATTTAATTATTATTCACACTTATAATTGCAACATCCTTACAAAAATGTCTAATAAAACTCCTAAAGTTTTTGGTCCAGTGTCACACTGAGACACTAAAGTTTGAATGCATACCTTCTGGACCAAGCTGGAAATTATTTGTTCCACAAAAAAATAGGTGAGAAATCTATTTCCAAAGTTCTCAGAAATATAGAACCAGAGTTTTCAGTAGCAGTTTTAAATCTGAAATTACTACTCTTCAGAGAAAACAAGTAATATGTTCTGTCTTCTCTCTATACTTTTCAATTGAAAGCTATATCTTGAAGAAAAAATACATGAAAACAAGAGAAGAGTCCTAATTCCTCTTTTTTTCCCCCCGGCTTTCTGATATCCAGGAGATAAAAGAAATAAGTATTTCATGGAGTGGCAGGACCTTGACATTTTCAAAATACTAGAATTCTCCCTTTCCATGATACTAGCAAGTTCTAAATTTATATCTGTAGAAATAAAAATACAATATGTTGGAGGATGTTTTAAAAACTTACTCTCTCAGCCTCAGAGGCAAAAGCCCAGGACTTACATTTTATTGTGTTCAAAGACTAAAAATATTTACCAGACTAAAAATGTTGTAGCATATATTCACAATATGTTGACTGTTGTCAGTTTTGATGCATCCCACTTTTAACTAGGGTTTATCTAGGCATTGCCTTTTTTGCTTAACAGTAGATGGCTTGACTGCTTCTAAGACTGTATAGATGTCTTTGAGAAAGTGGTACTTATGTGGCTAATGCAGTGAATAGCTCTGCATTACACTGCTATGCTGAACTAGATATCTGGCCTACACAATTTAAAGGTTATTCTGTCAAGTCTTCTTTAGCTACAACCACTACAATAATCACAGTGTAAATATAACCTTGATCTTCCACCTCATCAAAGACGTTGGATGGCTATACGCAGCAAAACTTTGGAAGGAGTGGCTCATATTCCAGATGGTCATGCTGCTATCCAGAGGGACTTTGACAGGCTGAAGATAATGTGCTGACAGGCACCTCACAAAGTTCAGCAAGGGGAAGTGTAAAGACCTGGACCCAGAGAGAAACAGCCACAGGCAGCAATATGTTCTGGCGGACCATCCAGCTGGAAAGCAGTTTGGTAGAAGAGGGCCTAGGGGTCCTGGCAGACACAAGGCTGAACATGAGCCGGAAATGTGCCCTTGCTGCAGGGAAAGCCACCAGTATTCTGGCTGCATTAGGTAAAGCATTGCCAGCAGGTTGAGGGAGGTGATTCTTCCCCCTCTCCTCAGTACAAAAGAGTCCAGGAAAGGCCTACAAAGATGATTAAGGGACTGGAGATATCTCCCATGAGGAAAGACTCAGAGAGCTGAGACTGTTCAGCCTGGAGAAGACTCAGGAACGGAGCTCATCCATGTGTATAAATGCCTGAAGGAAGGTTGTAAAGAAGGCTTTTTCCAGTGCTGGCCAGTGACAGGATAAGAGGCAGTAGGTACAAACTGATACATTGCATGTTCTTCCTGAACATCAGGAAACACTCTTCACTGTGAGGGTGTCTGAGCACTGGCACAGGTTGCCCAGAGAGATTGTGGAGTCTCCATCCTTGGAGACATTCCCAAGCTGTCTGGACATGGTCCTGGGCAACCAGCTCTAGGTGGAGAGACTGTGGACCAGATGACCTCTAGACATCCCTTCCAACCTCGGACACTCAATGATTTGTGATTCTGTGATTCTAAGACTTTACAAACTCATAGTTTTTGCTGCTGATGTGGTTTGGATGCTGAAAACAACATCTATTTTAGCAGATACTCCAGGTGCACTGCTCACTAAATTCCCTGAAAAAAAGTACCAGCACATATATTTGGAAAAAAAGCCCACTTTTTTCCTTCTCCTTTAGGTGAGACCTAGCCCTTCAAAAGCACAGAGCAGCCTATATCTGCAAAGGGGCACTCTTCTCCCAGAATCTTTATCTGTTTTTACTGTTACTGTGACTGAATGGATCAAAGAGGTGTTGCCCTTATTAAGTCATGCACCATGGTCACTACCCTTGAATTAAAAAAAGGCAGATCTAAATCTTGGAATGTAAAAATCTGAATTTTATTTTAAGGAAGTTATTCAATTAAGAATGCTAGAAAAGATAAGGCAAAGTTAATACATCCTCTAAACAGTCACAAAAATTTGTCTCTGGCTACTTTCAAACAGAGAGGAAAAAAATCCTAATTCTATTTAATAAGTGTCGTTATTTCATCCCTATATCACAAAACTCAGTGTTGCCTTTTTTAGGTGGCCTCACTGTAGAAGCCAAGACTGACCATCACCAGATCCTAGCTTTCTCTTACCTCAGAGCTCTCTCTTTCAGAACAGACTAAAGCTCACTCTTCAGAGGAATAGCAAGTTGCATTTGGTACTGTCTGTGGCAGTGTTTAAACCAAGAACAATTTTAGGAAAACTGTAGAACTCACAAATATCTTTTCCATGTCTATTTACACCTAGCATTCAAAATTCTAAATTTTAGATTACTTCATGTAATTGACTGATTGCACTCTTTCAGCTTTCTAGAAAAAACCTGCATTTCTGTGCATTCTCATTGGATCACAAATAAAAGATAGGAAGTCCTGCTTGCCTGAGTCTTTCCATCTCTTCTCTGACTTAAACCCTTTCATGGTTTCCAGCTTGGTCACTCTGCTGAAACTGAGAAGGTGAGGTTTATTGTTTGGGTTTTTTTTGTTTTCACTTAGTCTATGTGACGGTCAAAAGCCAAAAGATATTAAACACCTAGAGAGCACAATTTTGAAACTCTGCTTGGTGTAAACCAGGCTTTTAAACATCTAACCATAACTTTAATTTGGAATCCATAGGTAAAAGAGAGTCTCAGTGGGACATCTTAAGCATTAGGTTCATCTTCTATGCTGTGGAGGTTATGAGCAGATGTTCTGACAAGAGTGAATTCTATTCTAAGAAGTCCAGTGATGTCCATGACATAAGTAAAGAGAAAAAATATGTAAGGAGAGAGTTTAGAGATGGAACCAAAGACTGTTGCACTCAGAGGCCTGCTCTCTGCTTAGTAGGAAAGCATGCCAAGAAATAAATTTGAGCAGCTTTAGAGTTTCTCATGGACAAGTCGAACAATTTCACTTAGTTTTTCAAAGGACAGTAAACAATGATATTTTTACTTCCACATTGTTTGGAATACTTAGAATGGATTTTAATGGTAAAGTCTGTTATACAGCAACTAAGTGGACTACATAACTTCATTTTTAAGTACAGCAGAGGATCTCAACTGATTTTTTTCTTAAAACAATTATACTTTTGTCACTAGTACACATTTTAGCTATTTGTTTTGTTTTTTTTTTTTTTTTTAAATTAATGCTTGTATTAGACAGTTGAAATTTAATGTTATCAATACTTTTTGTCAAGCACTCACAACACACAGCTTAAAGGCCAACCGGATCCTGGGCTACATCAAGAGAAGTGTGGCCAGCAGGTCGAGGGAGGTGATTCTCCCCCTCTACTCTGCTCTTGTGAGACCCCACCTGGAGTACTGTGTCCAGGCCTGGGGTCTGCAGCACAAGAAAGATGTGGACATCTTGGAATGGGTCCAGAGGAGGACCACAAAGATGACCAGAGGGCTGGAACACCTCCCCTGTGCGGACAGGCTGAGACAGTTGGGGTTGTTCAGCGTGGAGAAGAGAAGGCTCTGGGGGGACTTTACAGTGGCCTTCCAGTACCTGAAGGGGGCCTACAGGAAAGCTGGGCAGGGACTTTTGACAAGAGCATGCAGTGACAGGATGAGGTGCAGTGGATTTAAATTGGAAGAGGGCAGATTTACACTAGATATTAGGAAGAAATTTTTCACTGTGAGGGTGGTAAGACACTGGAACAGGTTGCCCAGGGAAGCTGTGGATGCCCCATCCCTGGAGGTGTTCAAGGCCAGGCTGGATGAGGCTTTGAGCAACCCGGTCTAGTGAGTGGCGTCCCTGCCCATAGCAGGGGGCTAGGAACTAGATGATCTCTAAGGTCCCTTCCAACCCAAACCATTCTATGATTCTGTAAATGACCAAAAACTTTCAGCAATAAACTTCTGCTGACATCTGTGCACTAATTTGTGTTTTTTTAAGGAGCTATTTCTTCAGTAATTCCTTCATTAAAATTTAAAAATCCCTAGAAGGTAAACCAACAGGAGCTCTCTGTAATGATAATAATGTCTGTTAATTTAAAAGACTTACGAGAGAAATAAAGTTTGAGAGCACCTAATTCTGTGAATGAATCATAGAATCATAGAATCATAGAATGACCCGGGTTGGAAGGGACCTCAAGGATCATGTAGTTCCAATGAAGACCGTTATAAACAGACATTTGTGTTTTTCTGTTTCAAATATCTTTTAGCAACTTACAGAAATCTGAGTACTAGATATTTGAAGTAGTTCAAACTCCATAGTAGCAAAATATCACAACCTTAATAGAAATAAATACCTTTAGTAGCCAGTAAAATAAAATGCACTATGCAACATAATAAGATTTTTCTGCTTAACTTACCTGGCTTATCTAAAAGCCTTGACTTTTTGCAGTGGTAAGAAAGCTCCTGTTCACAGTGCTCTGAATGGTTAATTGTAGCCTGGAGCTGGTCTAGGCTGGCGGCGTACTTGAAAAACATAGTGTGGGGGTTCTCTCGATTAGCACTTTTGACTCTGGTTAGGTTGGTGTTGTTATGCTGTATAATAGTCCACGTTGTATCTTTCAAAACACATGTGAAAATTAATGAAGAATGAAAAGTAGTTACATAAGTTAGTAATAGAAGCAGAATGTATGCTGAAATCAGCCAAACTTTAAGGTGACTTCTTTGATCAAAAAATGTGTTTTGGGGTATATGCAACAGAGACATAAATCACTGAGCAAAAACTGAAAACAAAAAAAAACATTGGTTTTATGCATAAGTAAATTATTGTGCCGTGACTGTAACAGGTATTCAGTTTGTTATGATTATTGTATAAGGAAAGAGTAAGTGACGAATAATTGTCTCCAAAATAAGATACAGTTTACATGGTAGACTGCAATTAAAGAATAGAAAGGAATAATACTTACTATTGTTACTTTTCACAGGATTAAATTGTTTATAAAATAACACTAAATTCTATTCTAGATTCTAGCTACATTACATATATCACTATAATTTGATTTAATTTATTCTGTGTGAGAAAATGGCCTACAGCTTTTTTTTTTTACAAAGAAGCAAAAGTAGCTAGCAAATACTGTAATTACTATAAAAGCCAGATTACATGAAGATGTGTTATTCTAGCCATCTAAAATAAAATAGTAGGCATTTTTTGAAGTATAATTTGAAACATAAATTTAGTTAAGGACTAAGAATCATGATTCCAAAGTTCAATAGCAAGTTGCTTCCGAACACCTGACATAATATTAATTTATGGCAACCACCATGGTATGCTAACTTGACTAAGTATTGCAGTACGATGAAGTACTAGTTCGGAACCGAGAACTGCATTTCCTTAAAAAACATGGCTTGCTCTTAAGTCACCTTTTAGTTCAGGTGCTGCTGAGTAAGGCAGCTACGTACTTCATTGCATTGTGTAGACAGGCCTTACTACTCATGTAAACTCGGAACATGCAAAATATTGCCAAAATATTTATGCCAGAAGCAAGTTAACTGTGTTTGCAAGACTTTTTTTTCCACGAGTCACTAGTAAATATTCTGTACTCCTAACATTATTTCTAGAGAGGTATGTTTCAAAGTAATGCTCTTGTCATAAAACAGCAAAAAAGACTTACATATAAATACACATAAAACTCAAATGGTTGAATAATAGACAATATATTGCACATTTATGAAAGGTAAGTTTAAGACATGCAGTATGCTGTGAAACAGACTTTCTCCAATTTGGAGCCATGTTACAGTTAGCAACAAAGTGGTTCAATAACTTTTCAGTTATATTGATACTTTACAAATATTCTTTCATTAGAAGTCTTCTTTTAACTTCCTACAGCAATCATGGGAAGTATTTTTAATTGTAAAATCTCATTACAATGCAAAATCTCACAGATAACTAAAACTGATGTTACATGGAGCCATTACTTTAAAAGCTACTACAGGCCATAGGCTAAGTACTATGTATCTACCTTGAGAATGGAAAAATAATTTTCCTGTACACAGAAACACAGGAAGGGTGAAACTGGCTGGTGCCATAGCACGGGAGTGCATTGGTCACTCTGTCCTATGGTTTGCATACGAAGAAATGTAACATCAGACATTCTGCTTGGGAATACAAAGATCACTCCCTCTATGTCATTCGAAATATAAATTGCCCTAAATACTAGTGGGTGATAAAGGCTCATGTGTTTCTGTTGCCAAGCACCCTCACCTTTGAATATGGAAGCACTGAACTTATTCTTATCACTTGCAAAGCCTGTAACAGTCTGATACCCATGACTAAAATCCTCTTCAAGGTAGGAGTGAGAAGGCTCACAGTTAAAGCCAGTCTGGGTCAGTCAACTCAAGTCTGATTCATGTTCACCATATTCTTGTATCTTGATGACCAATGTAATTTGAGTAGATATGAGAAATGTTATTTTTCTAGCTTGTAGTATTGATGATAATATTTCTGACATTCTAATAGCAGTATTTCTAACTTTTTAACAGAGTTGTATTTTATTTTGTTAGATTCCTACAAGCCACACATGGCTGACGTTATGAGATATTTATAGAGGAAAGAAATCATGGTCATTTAAAGGACAAGTATTCATCAGAAAATCTAAAGGAAATATCAAGGTGAGATGCCTATTCAAAAATATTATATTAAAAAGAGTCTACTATGCAACTTTTTTATTATTGCTTACAAGTGTTTGTTCAAATCACAAAATTTTATTAAGTACATAGTCGTGGTGTCAAAAAGCAGATGGCTGGAAATATAACAAACTTAGATTTCTTTTTGTATATGCACACAGATAACAGACACAAACATATCTAAAGGCTACATGGAACATGAAAACTAAGACAAACAGCCCAGCTGCCAAACTCATTGTCAAACTCCCAAATCTATAAAGACACAGACAAGCAGGTAGATGCAAAGTTTGGTCATCTTAACTGGCAGTGTAGGTTGTAGGCTCTTCATTCTGAAACTGACCTCCAAGTAAAACAGGGACAGGCAACTCCCTCCCAGCTGCCTGAAAACAGAGCCCCATGAATGTCAAAGCAAGGCAGTGCTATAAAAAATGTGGGCATCTGCCTTCCCTGCCTCTGGTGGGAAAAGGGAATGCCAGTCATGAGGTAACTGGGAACAAAACAAACACAGAAGATTCATTCTGTCAGGCTGCATCTCGAGATGAGGAACTCATAAATGAGGTTTGCTTAATGTGGTGAATAAGGAGTGACTGAGAAAAACAGTAACATCTGTTCATAGACACACAAGGATAAATCAGACACAACACTGTACCTTGGAGGGTTATATCCACTTAAAAAAATTGTCATCTTTCTGCCATGATTTTTTGGTCTCTTTTAGTCTCATAGGGCACTAGGATATTTCTTTTCAAGGGCCTGTGTCAATCTGAAGTGTGCCCACAGTGAACCAGCACAGTCCACTGTAGATGTCAAAGTCGGAGCTGACATGGTGAGACTGGTTAAATTGCACAGACCGGCTGAAATGATGGGAATTCTACAATTTCAACACATATGACAAGTATTCTTTAGATCACTGTGAAAATCAGCCAATGCCACTCACAGAGTCCTGCCAGTTTCTGAAGAAACAGAAGTGACCACAAATTGTCTACAAATCAACATTTAAAGCTTATGATAAGGTTTCTAAGTCAAATTCTCAACACTTAGGACATACCTAAACTTAATTCAACTATAGTTTGTTCATATAGTCTTTTAAACAGTTATAACTGTGTAAAAATATATTTTTGTCACACAAAACGATAAAGTGTTTCCATCATTTTGTCTGGAAAGCAATTGAAACAAATAGAGGCTAGGTTAAAAGGAAAGGAAACAGCCACAAATAAAACAATAATAAATTTTAAAAAGCCACTTAAATGTAAGCTTCACTGAAAGGACATATACCTATAAGCATACATAGACAACATCAACTGGTTTCTTAAAAGGCAGACTGACAACAAAGTCTGATATCTAAAACTTCTATTGATATAGATGGTCAGGGTCAAAGAACTGGGTGCAGAAGAGAAAGCATGATGATTGAAAGTGAGGCTGCAAGAGTCCCACTGGTTGCATTTGCATTCTCCAGAAGACCTTGCAATTTGAAAAACGAAGCTTAATGTCTATGTTCCTCACAGCAAAGTCTAGTTCTGAATTACATTTTTTTCAGAAGGCTACTGGGAAAAATCAGTAATTTTCTCACAAAACATCACTTATTTCTCACTTCCTTAAGTGTCCTCAAGAGGCTGTAACTTTAGTGAAAACAAAGCTGCTCTCCAAAAATGAACTAGTATGACATTGGCTCCATATGGAACACATGTCCAATTTATGCAAGGCACAACAGCTTCACAGCCTGAATCCTGTTATAATTTTAATTTCTCTGCCTAATTCTTTGCCCAATATTCTGAGCTAAGGAGTCACCTTCATTTTGCTGTGCATGTATACGTTAAACTTATGAGCTACAGAGGCTTCTTACTTGATAACTCATGTTTCAATATAATGAGCATGCATACAGTCCCAGCTGTGAGTTAAGGAAGTTTATCACCTCACCTGTCATGTTACAGTATACAAGAAACGGTCCCAAAGGGCCACTTCCGTCTGAATCAATATTGTAAAAGCCTGAAGTGTTCCCTCTGTGCTTATAGGCTTCACATGATTGCTCATAGATGGCTGTAAAAGAACACATTCCACCACAAATGTAATGGCATCATTTTACATTTTACTCAGGGAATTAAAAAAAAAAAGGTGTGGAACCTGTCAGTGGGGAAAATAAGTTGTGTGTGTTCACTGCTAAAGAAAACAGAAGAAATCACATAATCAAAACTATACTTTCATTTTATATTGTAAAGCACATTCGGTTTTATTTTTTGGGGAGATCACAAGGGACATATTCAGGCATTTTCTTCCATATTTCAAGCTGGAAGCTTCAGGGAGGAAACCATGAAATGTGGGTAAGTAAATGGTTGTAAAAACTGACAAAAAATGTGAATATCCAGGGTATTACTTAGACCGTGGTAGTCAGCTTCCAAGGAAATAGACACTAACCAACTCAGACAATTCAGATATTTTTTTTTTTTTGGTAGTTGTTGTTACATACAGCAGAAGGTAGGCATTGTTCTGTTTGTCTCCTGGCATTTTTCATTTTTCACACTTATTATTTTCTTCTTTTTTTAAAGAGAAGGGCAAATGACATATCAGAGACGGCAGTAAAAGAACTAAATAACCAAAGACAAAATGACAGTTGCTTGGTTCCATGTCACGTACACTTTATATCAGTCAAGGCCTAAAAAAACATCTGTGATGACTTCTTTATGATCAAAAACCTGAGGAAAAGGACTTCTGAGTTCACCTCTGTACTTAAACAGACAGGAACCACTGATGATAATGCCACAGCCAGACCATGTTAACCTAACTTTTCCTTTAACCATTATATTACTATTGAGCAGTCATACTGTTCTGGTCTTTCTTTTCAAAATTAGACCACATGCTCTACTAGTTACGATCAAAATTTGAAAACACTCTGAGAAACAGAAAGAGCTGTTAGATTCAGGAAAAAAATAATTAAATTGCTATACAAGTAAAAACATAACTCCATAATAATTATTAACAGTCTAGAAGAGTTAGATCCATATAAATTCAGTTTAATTATTTTTTTTTTTTAAAAGCTATAAAGTACTAGTGCAGCAATCCAAAAGAAGTGCTGTTTTTAAAAAGAAGCTAGTTTTTTGGAAGAATGTGGTCTCTGCATTTTTTGCCTGATGGTTACTGACATTCTATGGCAACGCCTACCAAAAATATATCATTCAGGTTGCTTACTCCATTAAATATTCAGAATGCACAATTTATGTAATTTTCAAATTGATATTTTTGTTCCTTACAGTGAATAGTTTTAGTTAAATTTAAACATGACAAAAGAGATTCAATTATTCATTAATTCTTTTATGAACATGGTAGTTTGTATGCTAATATTTTGAAAATAGTAACTTAGTTTTATAACAAAGAGAATGTTTGTTTGAGAATTCAAGGGGCAATTTTTTTTCTTTTGAAACTACACAGAAGCATAATAACATGGCCAAAAATTATCCTATGTTCTTGATTTGAAATCATCATTAAAATCACTAAAATCAAGTATTTTGAATCTTCCACTTTATATCATAGAATCATAGAATCATAGAATGGTTTGGATTGGAAAGGACCTTAAAGATCATCAAGTTCCAACCCCCCTGCCACGGGCAGGGACACCCTCCACTAGACCAGGTTGCTCAAAGCCTCATCCTGCCTGGTCTTGAACACCTCCAGGGATATCTATAGATGCAGCATTTTATTAATCATAAACAAACATCACAGAAGGATTTTATATGTATTTTCTGCAACCAATAAGAATTCAATTACACTTATCATATTATTACATTTCTCATGGACTCCTGATCATTAGGAAACTATGGCATCCATCTGTCCTTATAGACATCATCAGTTGATTCCACATATGATTTTTAAAATTATGATGATTCAAATCACCTTCATCTTTACTTGGACTTGTCATAAGTTTATGTCATACGCTGCGGTGTTCAAAAGCATCTGTACTATTGGCATCCTTTTTTTGTTACAAAAATTTTCTAAAAATTGTGATTTATGCCACTGTGTACTTTGCAATTAAGGCGATGCAGGAAAGGTTGTTGACTCTGTACAAGCAAGATTTAATAGGCAGTCTTTTAAAATTAGTGATTTCTTAAAAAATTCCATGTGTGTAGACATATGTTCTTTTCATAAAATCTTCCAACAAGAATTGTATAGATTTTAAAAGGACAATTTATAAGGGCAGGATTATTTATGTCATCATTAGGGCAGTCTTTGGAATTTTTTACAATTCTCTGTATAGTTTCATAAGAATTTACTGTTATTAGAAGCACATAATGAAGCATGAAATGATTTATTTTGCTTCCCAGAACATACTTAAAGCAGTAAAAATGTAGGGCATCTCCTGTGAAATTAGTTAAGTTACTTTTGATTAAGTTTTTTTTAAAATTTCTCCTAATCAACTCCCTGATTCAGCAAACCACATAAACACATTTAAAGCTTAGCCTGTGATTACCTTTGCACATGAATATAGTCCCATTGTCTCAGAAAAAAATAATTGTTGTGATGAATAAAGATAAATTAAATACATTTCTAAATTATTTGTTGATTCAGAAAGTGGGATTGTATGGGTGGAAGAGGATATTACTGACCATCTTGTGTAAATTACGGAAAATGTGAAACAGAAAGAGATAAACGTTAAAACTTTCAATGAGTTTTTGCTGCTACGTATTTTGAATTCTCAAGGCCTCTTCTTGAATAAAACAATCTGCTAATATGAGTGATTAATACAAATGTATATGTTTGTGGTGAAAAAATTCAAACAATTAATAAAAGCATAGTCAGAAAACATCTTAGACTTACAATAGTGGCAAGTAGCTCCTTTGTAACCAGTATTGGCACAGTTGCAGTAGAAGCTGTTCCAGGACTGTGAGCATTCACCACCATGTTCACAGTAATTAGGCAAACACCGAAAAAATTAAACAATTAATAAAAGCAGTCAGAAAACATCTTAGACTTACAATAGTGGCAAGTAGCTCCTTTGTAACCAGTATTGGCACAGTTGCAGTAGAAGCTGTTCCAGGACTGTGAGCATTCACCACCATGTTCACAGTAATTAGGCAAACACCTAAAATGAAAAACAAAGAGCATTTTCACTCTCTTTTCCATTTGTTTATATGTCACTTGCACTTATCAAGGGATGCAAAATAATGAAAAAGAAGAATAATAACATGAAGGAAGTCTATATAATTATTAGAAAATTAAGAGAATTTTCATTCATCTTCCTTAATATTTATGTTGCCTATGATAAATATGTTAATTATGCAATAAGTCTGTGAGAACAGAAATAAAGTGTAAGATGCATAACTGTTACTTATTACCATACAACTATCTGCAATTCAATCAATTAAAGATATACATGCTGATAATTCACTGGCAAGTTTTGCAACTGATAGGACTTATTCAACAAGCTGTGTCACAACAAAACAGCATTACAGCAGATTTTTTTCTATCCTTCTAAAAATAGTAGAACATTTTTTAAAAAATCACATAAATAAAACTAACCATAGAACCTGAGAGCTCTTTCTTGTTCTAAAATCATGCTTACTTGCTATTCTAGAAAGAGTAAAATATTCAATATGTCAGTTCCATCACAAGAGGTAACTAACAGTAAAGCCAGCATTCATTCCGGTGATATAAATAGAAACCTGAAGAATTTTGGTGGCTTTCTTCTGGATTTACAATGGTTGACTGCAAAGAAAATTTGCCTTTAACTGTTTAATGATTAAGACTCCAGCACCATATCTAAGTATAAAATATTGCATGAGAATAAAAAAGGAGAATTCATCTTGTTTATAAACACAACCAAAACCATACCGAAATAGAGTAGCACAGTTTAACCAGTTATTTGCTAGCTTTTCAAATTAGTAATTACTTAACATTCTAATTGCAGTGTGTGTATGTGTATATGCGTGTGTATATGATACAGCTCAGAAAGTATAAAAAGGGCCTTATTGTTGATATTATCCACAGAAAACCACAGAAAAAAGAAAACTGTCTCACTAATATTCACAGGATCTTAAAATACCTTTTAATTCATTCAAGAAATCTTAGGAGAGTATTAAATTAAGATTGTAGAAAGCTCACACATCTGCCCTATGAATAATTCAGGGTCTTTGTATATTCAATCCTCCTGACTCTCAAAGAATTTTAACTTCCTTTCATGTTTATAAACAAGGATAAGCAGAGGTTTTCAGAGAAGAGGAAGAAAAAAAAAGAAAGTAGCAGGAAAAGTGTAGGTAAAGTAAGTAAAGTGATATAGGTCACCTATTTTCAAGGAAGTAAGTGATATTTTTGCTAGTGAAAGTGCTGATCTTTTATCTCACTGAGAGAATGTATTTCTAAGACAAGTCTGCAGATTAGATATACGTCTCAATGTGCTCTGGTTTGGAATATAAAAATTAACTTTAGGCACTAGGCTCACATCCTCTTTGATATTAAATACTTTGTTTAAAGGAATTGTATAAATGTGCATAGCAATACTTTGTAGGATAAGTACTTAATTTTGCTCTTTTTACGGGTATGACTAGTCATCAGTTATTGCAAATACACTTCTCCTCTAACATAACTGCCATTCAGGACATTCAGCTCAGCCTCTGACAGCTGCTGTTCTTGTATGTATTTCAGACATAGTTTTTCTTGTCTTATTCCTTTTTTGATAAAGACATCCTTATCCCTAAATTGCAAGTGATTTACATGGTCTTTAATTGTATTGACTTGCTGCCCATATTAATTAATCTTCCTGATAGTGTTCACTAGATGAAAAGCTTAGATGAAACTGATGACACTTGAACCAACTTTAATAGAAATGGAAACAACTTAGAGTATAATTTGAATCATTTAACATTAAATTTTACATCTTCCCTCTATTTCAGAATGTATAATACAAAGTAGCCACTAGCTACATCGAAGTCAACATATAATTACATTATATATTGTGAACCTATCCAAAGCAAGATTTAGAACAGTTCTTTCTCTGAGGAAACTAATTTTCTAAAAAAATATTCCCAATATTAGAAAAAGTATTTCTAGTAATTCATCTATAGAAGGTAATTTTTGGGTTCATCATCACGTCTGCTTATACCAGTGAAAAACAGCTGATTAAGAATTTTCCACATATTACTTGATAATATGCTTTTAAGTGTATGACATCTGAAAACGATATATGATTAAAAGCCAAGACAGCAGGCTAATAATAATTATAAGCTAACATTCAAAGGAGAACACTGACCCAGAACATAAATATGCTTGTGATAAAGACGGAAAAAATAAGAAGTTCGTATGCTAATTTTCTGTCAAATACATTTTTGGTACACTGTTTATCATGGTACCAAACTATGGTTGAAAGATATTCTGAAAAAAATAACTAATTGCTGCAATTTTAATTATTTTTCTTTCTTAGGTCTTCATTAAAAAAAAAAAAAAAAGAGAGAAAAATATTTGAAAGCTATTCCACTTACAGTGTCTTCTCTTTTTCACATATAAAACTATTTATTCTGGTTTTAGTGCAAGACACTGCTGCTGAGACACCAAAGGCAATAACTCCTGGTAAGGAGTCATATGTTTCTCTGTAGGGTTTCATGCAACTATGACAGGTTCATCTGCTACTCTCTCCTCAGAGACTAGATGTGCTAACTTTGTAAACTGTTTAGAATGACACTATGTCCTTAAAGTTATTTTATCAATGGTTTATGTATTATTAGTAGTTATTAAACCAATATATATTGATAAAGGAGCAGAGAGAAAAGATATTAAGGAGAAATATATGAAGTAATTATTTGCATGCCCAAGAGGTGTACGAGCAATGGAACAATATAAAGATATTATAAAATGAAAAGGCTAAATGAAGGAGCATGGGAAGAGCAATGAGTAGAAAGATTCATAATAATTTAAGCATAGGAGGAGGAACAGGAAATTTTATGGAACTAAGAAAACAGAAAATAGGAAAATGGTAGGGATTTTTTGTTTGTTTAAAAAGAAGAATAGGTTAATAAACTCTATCCCTATAAACAAATGTATGATTAACCAACCATGTGCCAATGAGGATTGTAAATCTGATAAAGAATACTCCACATGTGTTAAATGTGCATATATACACATGTGATAAAGAATGGACTCAATAGAATTATTTTCAGTTTATTTACTATTGCATATAAATTCAGATCATTATGCAAACAGTAACTTTTATTTGTGTTCATGCACTTGATGTGTGGAAAACTATTACATTTAGTGGCCCATTGTTTCTGCTACAAATGCCATCAATAACTCCAGGATTTGGGTCACGCTTCACTATTTGGAACTGGAGACGCAAAGACTCCCAAAAAAGACTCCACGACAAATCAGTGGTTTGTTTGCCCTCAGCTGTAAGTGGGATATCTACCATCAGGAGCACATTGGCAGCAAGGCTGATTAATTCAGCTTTGGGCAACCAAAGACATGTAGAAATCATTGTAGGAAGAAAACTTTATCTCAAACAATATTGTGCACAAGATGATACAAGCTACCTATTAGAAATTGTTTAATGCATGTAAACAATTTTAATGTTGGCAAAGAAGAATATATCTTATCAACTAGGATTTATGGTGACATGTAGTACTAGTTTGGTAAAGAGAAACATGAAGTTTGTTCTGGATGATGAGCTGCAGATGTCAAATGTAATGAAACTGAGGAAACTGGAAAGAAGCAAGCTGGAGTAAGCTAGCCCACAACCAGGAAGACTTTTTAAAGACAGTCTATTTTGAAATCAAAGACAACGAGTGTAATGAAACTGATAAAAATGAGTGGATTAAATTTCTATTTTGATAACTTAGGAAGACATATGGCAAGGATGCTGAGCTGAATCCTGACTTGGCAGAGCTAGTGCAAGAAAGGTGTAACTGTCAAGATATACAAAGAGACAAATTAACATCAGCAATTTTTAGAGAAAAAAACACCAATCAAACTAAAACCTTCCATAATGAAGGTTTGGGTTTTTTCAGTTGGTATCATTGATTATGGGAAACCACATATATTTTTGATGAACTATGAGAGTAAATTAAGAAAAAGTTAACATAGTGTCAAGAAGTAATAAAAACACTTTGAAAACTACTGTGGCAGGAAAGTTTAAGTGGTTTACACAACTCCATACTGAAGATTAAAGATGTCGGTGGTACTGATGTAAAACAAGGATGCTATCTTCATATGCTATAAAAATTCAGCAAGATAAAAATATGAGGAAGGTCTATATACAAATCTAACCCCTTTGATGCAGTGCTTTAAAGCAACAAAAGAAAAATCAAAAGGGTAGAGTACAGTTCTGAATAAACTGAACTTGCACTGAAGGAGAGAAAAGGGCTATGACATTTGGCATACTGTAAATGCTGGATTTCTATTTACTGAGATTCACAGTGTGACCCTATAAATGTTTATACATGCAAACTTACTTTTAAAACCTCACTTGTATGCATTTACATACTATGGCCATTCAAAAGCTTAAACTGTAATCACTACATATAGAAATGTGCCATCTTCCTTTAAAATTTTAGGTAAAACCTCTCTGTGTTAACGGAGGAAAAGATGGCTCCTAAACCACGGCTCTGAAATGAGCATTTTGAGAGGTCCCCATTTACACTGTACATTCAAAAATCCATGGTAAATCAGAGATAGTAACTGGCATCGATTATATTATGAGCCATTTTGGTAATGTTTTCCATTCATAATCTTGCTTGGGTGTCCTTTAATGTGTTTGACTAAAGAACATGTGGATCCTCACATTACAGTCTTTTGACCTGATTCTGTTCCTGATTCTGTCTTTTTACTACAAGCAAAAAAAACAAGCAGTGTAATGGATGTGGAGTAAATTCAATTCCAAAGTCAAAAAAACAGCAGTGATACAGCGCTTTAAAAGCTCGAAGGAAGGGTCATGAGGTCTATCAGAGAGGAGATGAAGGAGACAGTGCAAGAAGTTTGAAAAGTAAGAAAATTAGTCAAAAGGAGTAGGGTATGAGAAAGATAAAAAGAAATGTAAATGTATACTGCATCACAAATACAAATCTCTAACAAGTTATATAGTAAAGTTTTGACATAGGTCAAACTCTGTTTTGTCATATGTCTATCACACTTACTGCCTACTGCAAAGTCAGGCTTAACTCAGTAAGGGATAAATTAGCACAGAGGATGTTATGTGTGCAATTCTGTATGTTCTTATAACATGCTAGGTACAGAAAGATTGGCTTGTATACACAATATAACCTAATTGAAAGGATCACATTGTAGGCAGGTTTTTCAGCCTCCTTTTGGAGATTTGTCTCAGTAAACTTGTATGAAGAATTAGGTAAAGAACCAGTGCTATTGTTGTCTTTGATCAATAAGGCACTGTGACTTTCTTCAAAATAATAGCTTGGATAGACATACACTTTGTTATCTCTGTCAATGGAAAGCAGGTCACAGAAATATGTCTGTGTGACTGAACCTGAAACTAGTTATGGTCTTGAAGCAGATCTCTGTCTGCACTCTTTTCCCCAAAGAGAGCAATTTTTAAAAGAGTTATAATTCAAAGGCCAGACATTTTTAGATCAAAAGGCAGATTCTGAGGACTAGAAATGCAGATGGTGGGGGAGAACTGTTTACAAGCACACCTTTGCTTGTTGCGTCATTTTAGTACAACCTTTCAGCTTGGTCCAAGGCAGCCATTTCTGGATTGAAGAGGACTTTGCATAGATGCCTGTGCCTGCATTCTCCTGTGTCCATAGCAGAAAACTTCTGCTTCCATTGCCTGCTTGGGTGTCTGCTCCCTCTCTTCTCAGCAGCCTCTGCCACACTGCAGCATCTCCTTTGGCTCATCCTCTGCCTTCTCCACACTGAACTCCAGCAATATCTTTCCATCAAGCATTACAATCTGTTTCAGGGTATGTATACAGTCTTTCCTCCCTACGGAAGTAGCCACTTAAACTAGTCATCCTCTTTTAGATAAATGCTAATATAATCTATTTCAAGTTATGAGATTAGTTTTGACCATAGCCTGAAAAAGACTGCTCATTTACTGTGATGGATGCTAGCTACTGTGTTTCTGGATGAGTAGAATATAGGAAGTAGCAATAATTTGTAAAGAACATAGCATTTTAAAGGGTGAATGGGCCTGTATAACATAGGAGGGGGTTTGTGTCTATAGGTTTAGTCAAAAAGAAAGTGAGATATTCAAAATTAATCTGAAACATCAATTTTTTTAAGCCCAGTTACTCTATTTGCAGTGCATGAAAATCTAATTGCTGTGCTATGTATACTGCATTTATTCTAGACTTTTGAATCCTTACAAAAGCAGCATCATGCCATTTTGTAAGTATTCAGTTCTTTGTCACATCAGTACGGCAAACAAAACATTCAAATAAATAAGTAAATGAGTAAATATTATTTTCTTACCTGTCTATAATGCCACATAAATCTATCTGAAGGTCACTGAAATTGCCAAAAATATTTTGCTGAACTGAGATCATATCCACTGCTTTGTTACCAATGGAAATGAGTCGCATGCATCCTTGAAAGCCACCAAATGAGGTATTACATCCAGAAATGTTTCCAGTGCTAGGACAGCCTGAAAGAAGCACAAAACCTGGAGCTGAAAAAAATACTTATTGAAAAATGTATATATTCCAAAAGTAGACTGAACTTTGATAATCTCCAGGTGTTGTAAACTCTGTGGGCAGAAGATTTTAGGCAGAAGCTCTTCTGATTAGGCATGACATTGCAACTGTAAAGAAATACTTCTGTGCAGTCTTACTGTTTTTAAAGCATATGCAAAAGCACCACTGAAAATTTGGGTAGTGGATAACCCAAACAGCTGTTTCAAAGCAATGAATGGAATCAAGATTGACTGACTGACCTTAGTCACAAAATGTTAGGATACAATATAAGATGCACATGATTTGGACAAGTTTTAAGTCAGAACTGAAGTCAAATAAGACAAAAATTAGCTACCAAGTACAGTGATTTTAATTTACCAAGCTGTCCACAAGATTTAGGAAAGTACTGAAAACAATTTCTTGATGCATATCATCAATGACTCAACTAGGAGTGATGCTCTTCTGGACCTGTTTCTCAGAGACAAGCAATGAAAATATGAAGGTCAAGGACAGACTTGGTTAAAGCAAACATGAGGTAGTGGTGTTTATGATCCACAGAGAAGACAGAAAGAAAAAAAGCAGAATTACAACTTTAGACTTTAGGAGAGCTAATGTTGCTCTGTTCAGGACCTGTTTTGAAGATCCCATTGGAAACTGCCTTGGAGAACAAAAGGGCTGTATATTTTTCAACAAAAAGCTCTTTGGAGCATCAGAACAGTCCATAGCAATATCAAAACAGTTAAGCAAGAATGGCAGAAGGCCTGCAAATATAAACATGGATCTCCTTAGTGAGTGCAAACACGAAAATAAAGTACACAGAAGATGGAAGCAAGGACATGCAATGGGGAATACAAAGACATTACCTGCATGGCTAGGAATGCAGTTAGGAAATCCAGACCTCAGGTGGAGTTAAAACTATCAAGGAATGTGCAGTGCTGCAAAAAGCTTTCTATAGGTAAAATATTAGCAAAGTGAAGGCTAAGGAAATTATTGGTGCATTACTCCATGGGGCAGGAGACCTACTGCCAAGGGTCTTGGGAAAAACTGATCTTTGCAAGGCATTTTTTCTTCAGTCCTCACTGGTAAAATTAATCCTTAGGCTTTCCACATCCTAGCAGAGTATGATGGAGGGAAGCAGTACCCACAATAAAGGAAGAAAGAGACAAAGGGACACCTGAGGGTGCTGCAGTAGCTGGCCAAAATCATTGAAACAATTGCCATTGTCATTGTGACGCCATTATCAGTTTGATACTCAACAGGTTTTGGCAATTTGGTGAACTTTTTGACTGGAAAAGGAAGATATTACACCTGTCTTCGAGAAAGGCTAGGAGGGTATAGGAAACTAGAGGCTAGTCAGCATTACTGCAGTCCTTGGCAAATTCATGGAGTAAATCCTCTTAGAAGCCATTTCTAAACATGTGCAGGACAAGAAGGTAACTAGATAACTTTAGCTTCAAAGTTAAATCATGGCTGAACCAGCTCTTTATTTTCTTTGCTGAGGTGACGGACACCATGGAAAAAGGGAGAACAGTGGGCTTTGCACACTTTGACCCTAGTAAAGATCCTAACAGTTTTCTGCAGTCTCCCTGTCACCAGATTGATGAGATGTGCATGGTATAAGCTGACAATTGATGAAACCAAGTCCAGCTGGTGGTCAGTAAACCTTTCAGAAATCAGTACTGAGAGCTATGCTACTTAATGTCTTCATTAATGGCCTGATGACAGGATAGAGGACACTTTCAGCAAGACTCTAACTGATAGCAAATTGGAGGGCACGGCAGCAAATCAGAGGGACTTGGGCAGGCTGAAGAAATAAGCTGACAGGAAGGCCATGAAGTTCAATAAGAACAAGTTCAAGGTCCTTAATCTGAAGTGGAACAAGTCCATGCAACTATCCAAGCTGGAGGATAACTGCCTAGATCCATAGAGAAAGACCTGGGGTCTTGGTGGACCACAAGCCAGGAATGTGCCCTTGCAACACAGAAGACCAATGTACTTCGCAGTATAGGAAAGACATCGACACCCTGGAGTGAGTCCAGTGGAGGCCTCTGAGATGGTCAGAAATCTGAATGCATAGGATGTGTGCACAGAGGCTGAAAGAGCTTTGCCTGTTCAGTCTTAAGAACAGAAGATAAAGCTATCTGATAAGACTACAGGGAAGACTGAGCCAGGCTTTTTTTTAGAAGTGCACAGTGACAGGACAAGAGGCAAAGGACAAAAGTAAAAAATAACAAATTCTGACCAGACACTAGCAACAAGTGTTTTTCCCATGAGGGTGCTCCATACGAGACCACTTTGCCCAGAGGAGTTATGAGATTTCCATCCTTGGAGCTGTTTAAGGTTTGAACGGTCAGAGACCTGTACATTCTGATCTAATCAGACTTGTTTAGAACAGAGGGTTGGACTAGACAATATCTGGATGTCCTACCCAACCTATGAATAATATTCTGTAAGTATCTAATATTGTGGTGTGTATATTTTGTTACTGACCCTGAAATACCTTTTCCACAGATTGTCAATTAATTAAACATTGTTAATAAACAAAAAAAATTATTTGATCCTGATTTGATTTTAGCCATGTCCATTGAGCAGGTTTTCCCAGTGGCAGACAAATACTGCATGACAAAATATGCCTAAATGTTTTTTTTTTTTCTTTGGCTTTCTTCCAAAAGGTAATATTGCTTCTGGAATGACACACAAGGTCCATTCTTTGATCTTAGTCAAACAATACTGCATTCTGGTTCACAGCATTCAAAGATCTCCTTGTTTCATGAAGTTAGGAAGCAGTGACTTTTAACACACTTCTCTATTCCACAGAGCTAATGGGTACTTTCTGAAGTCCTGTAAAGACAGTGCAGAGATTTACTGTATAGGAAAGCAAAATGACAGTGGAAACTAGTAAATCTATTTAAATATGTGTACAACATAAATAGTATGGATACACTTTTAAGAAGTATACAATAGAAAATGAACTAAAACTGAAAGAAGTAAATAAATTCTCTGTGTGTTTTACTCTGGTGGGGAACCAAACTGTTCAAAACTGTTATTACCATTCTAAAGGAAAACTTATTATCTACTTGGTATATTGCTTTAAGAACAACAAATCCATGGACTTGCAAAAGTCCAAACAGGAACATAGCAACTTTTCAGTACCACACACAGTTACACAAATCAATTACAGGTCTAACCACACTCTTTACAGCATTTTACAATGAAATGATAAAATAAATTCTGTCATTTCTTGTGAAAAATCTGACACTCATTTGAGAATGAGATGCTTCCAGTGGAGTTCATATTAAAAGAAAAAAAAATCCAGAGAAGGCAGAGAAATTTTATATATTTTACACTTAGCTATTCTACAAAATTGCGTCTCAGATTTTTTTCTTGGTGTTTGTCTTTTAAAAGTTGTCTTCTAGTTCTGTAGAGAAAAGGCAACATCATTAATATTAGTGAAACTGGGATTCCTTATATTTGTGGGCCAGCTGTTAAAGATAAGAAGAAATCCTTCAATAATGAAATTTACCCTATGTGCTTATTGCAATATTAAATAATCTCTTTTTGCCCTTATAGTTGCAAGGAGTTATTATTCCAAGAACTGAGAGAGGTACTATATCCTTGATGACAGTTTGACTAGAAATTGTGCTGACATAATGCTAAAGTACTTTCGTGTTTATCACACATTTTCCCAACTAAGCATACACAATTCTTGCACACTTTGTATTCATTAAAACAAGCAAACTAACCACCGTGTCTCCAGGACACCTCTCCTGGAAAGCTGATATTAATGTTTTAACAACCAGCACATAGAAACACAGTAAATATTCATATAGCTTAGAAAGAAAGTCAAAATGCGTTGTCTGCATTTTAGCAGTGGTATATGACATAAAATGTTAATAAAAAATTTTCTAAACTCAGAAACCTTCTACCAGCTTTTCCCAAGTTTGTATGACATGCATGAGCTGCTGATAAAGCTGAAATCAGAGAAGCTGAGGGCTGGATATGCGGTTAGTACTTTCAATGTTCTTGAAGTTAATTTGCACCCTCTGCCCCCCAAAAGATAAGTAGCAGTGTCCTGCTGTGTAACTTAATTGAATATACTGCTTTTTGAAACTGCCCACCTCCATCCTGATCTGTTCACCTGTGCCATTAAACCTGCATAGGTGTGAATCACCTAATCAGAGATGTGGGAACCAGAAGCCACATAGAAGGAAAAAAAAATGTTGTTATTCAAGGCCAATATTCTGTATCTTTTTCTGATTATCAGCTAGTTCAAGAAGTATCTTTAGTAGTGAAGGCTAGACACCAGATTTGAAAAGTCACATGGATGTTCATGCAGCAGTTCCTATATTTACTATCTGCTCATGATTGTGAAATTTATTTACAGCCTATTGTTTCAAGGGAACTGATCGGTGGACAATGACTTGGTCCATACTCATTTAGGGGTTTGTATGCATTTTTCATTTTTCTCAGAGATCTTGGTTGTGAATTCCTAAGTTACTAAGAGATGAAGCATTAAGCTAGTGTTGAATAATGCATTCAGATGCTGTTTAACATTGCTATTATGTAGTTCATTCCCAAATGATTTAGGTTCATAACAACCTCCTCAACTCTATCAGTAACAATATATGTGATTAATGATAAAATCTCTTGGTGACAGATAATTGTCTGCACTCCTCGTGAAATGAAGATATCTAAATGTAGTTTTTAGGCACAAGTTATATTCTTCAAACATAGGAAAGATGTTTCGTTGTGGTAAAAAAAAAAATTAAAAATTAAGAGTTTGTATCATGTAAAGAGGATATTTGCACAAGTAAGCATGAACTTAAGATGAAAACTTGAAACCATCCCAGCGGAAGATTCTCACAAAAAAATCATCTATCAACAAAACAAATATGCAATTAGAGACCTTTGTGTGTCTGTCTCATTTTTCGCCAGACTATATTCAATTATCAGAGCGTCACACCAGAAAATGACGTTCTAAAAAGTGACGAAGGATTTAGGGTGTTAATTTATTCTAGTCAACATTATAAAATTTTAAGGAAACACAAACTTAAAAACATCATAACAGCTCCTGAAGACCAGATCCTTTGAGAAATATCCAAGCTAGGCAAAGAAGACTTGAAGCAAGCCAAATAATTCTCATTATTTGATTGCATATGTCAGGAAAAATTGATGCTTAACTGTGGGATATTTCCAACTTAAATAAATAGCATATTTCACCTCCAAAGTAGAAAGCATCTCCTGAAACAATTTGCAGAGGTACAGAGGCATGAGCAGATGAGGTCACATCATTGTCCACTATTACACTGATATGATTCCTTTCGGCAGAGAAGGACACAGAATGCCACTGGCCATTATTTAATCCAGAACCTGGAAGGAAAATAAAAAGGAAAATGAAGTAGAAACATCCATTATTTGTTATACTACCTGATTATAGACTTAAAAAGGTGGAGAGACTCGTATAAGAATCATAGCACACATAAAAACTCCAAATGACAATGAAAGGGAAAAAAATTAATAAAGAACACAAGTGTCCTTTGTGAAGACAGGACCTTTGTCCATTCCTTTGCTTCACATCTGATAAAGAAAAAGCAAGAGTACTTCAGTGAATAAGCCTTACTGTTGTAATACTCCTAATTGTCAGTAATGCATCCATTTAATGTAGTGACTGTGAAAAGTATCCACTCAATCTGAGGAGGTTATCATTAAGATATCATTGTGATGACTAATATAGTATTTTACACATAATACACGCTTTTACTGTACTACTACAAAAGATTTCTTCATCTTTTAAAATCAAAGGTAGTCTTTATATTACAACCCAGTAAAACATAAAAATCCTGCAGATGCCAAAATATTCAGCAACCGTCATGTCCATGTCACAAGATTATTTTTCTTTCAGTTGTCTCTTCTATTGGAAAGGTATGGGAAAATTTTCTGTGAGTTTAGCCTCTAACACCAATTTACATTGCCTCTGGCTCTGTAGATGCAAGGTGACACAAAGCAATAAACCTAAAGTCCCATTTCTGGAAAGCACTTACATATATATACTCAAATAAATTTTATACAGGGCAGTATGTCAGCACATTATTATCTTTAAGAAGTGCTTAAGTCAACCACGTTCTTGAGTGTTCTTCAGAACAGCAATATTTCTTTTCAATGAAGATCACATAATGTGACCTTTGAGTTATACAAAGTCTTTTCTCGACTATAGAGCGCCTATGATTTGTGGTCTGTGAATTCCCTCTTGAAATTTCATATATTCATATACTCCTCTCTAGAATGTGCTGTATATTCTAGAGATTAGTTCAAACACAAAGAAAAGAAATAAAAATAGAAAGATGGGAAGGTTCAAAAAGATAAATTACATCATAACTGGGATCCATATATTGTTAACTATCACAGTCTAAACACAAGATCAGCATACAACCAAGAGATACATCTTAGAATTACATTATAAATTAGATATATTATAATCTAGAAAATATCTCTAGTATGTTAGATATAATATTATTCCTATACACCTTTGTTATTATTTGTTTCCTTACTTCAACCACTATATTTATTGGAGACTGCATAACGCGAAATCTTACAGTCTAACAACGCTAACATTTTTCTTTTTTCCCAGGCTCAGTGGAACTGTACAAAAGCTACGGCTAACAGGTCTTCCTATCTCTGTGTTGCACTTTCAGGAACCATCCACCTCTTTAATAAAATGGCAGAAAGTACAAGGCCACAGTCCCTGGGTTTTATGATACCATTCTGGCTGTTACTTATTTTGGTTGCAATATTCCATAAGAAGTGCCATATGAGTTTGCTAGCAGGAGCAGTACACTTACAGTCAGATTAAATAATCAGCATTAAAGATATCACTAATTTTCTGGGTAAATACTTTCTACTTCTGTAAAACTCCATACTCAGGATGTCTATAGAGGTGGACTTTTTACTAAAATAAAAATCAAAAACCTTATTCCACACAATATAAAATAGTGTTAATGTTATTGTAACTGGCTGCCAAAAGGCCAGGTGTAACAAGGATTTACAAAGCCTTACAGGCAATATGGAGGAAGTGACTAGAATTTCCTTATATTTTGGTCATGTCCCTTTGTACTGGTGGCATCTGGTGTAATTTAGAGCAGCCTTTAGGCTGGTGCATTTTATGTTAGGGCTAGCATACTGTCGAGCTGAGGATCAAGAAAACGCCTTAAAGTCTAGCCATTTTGGCTCTAGTTATATTTTGGCTAGGTAATATGATGTGTAACAGACATTCAAAAAATAGACTAGATGAAAAATTAGAAAAATATTATTGTTGCCTTGCAACAACATGGGCATAGATGAGTCACATTGTATAATGAAGTTTCTAGACTTAATGAGTACTTTTATTTAACTCCCCTATTTTTAAATACTATTTTACAGTAAGAACTCATCAAATATATCAAAAAGTTTTATTAACTTCAAATAAAAATCAACAAAGAATCACAGAGATAAAGCATCTGTAGGTCTTTTATACCACTGTGAACCTCAGTGAACTACACTTTTTCATCAAAGAAGTAATAGATATGCTAAAACTAGGAATATGAACGATGTATTTTTTTTAAAGAACAGAGAACTAAATCTGAGAAAGGTTTTTTCCCAATTCCCAGTAATATAATTAGCTTTCTTCTATAATTTACTTTTGAATTATCCTTCAATAAGAAAATAAATTATAAAATATATAGTCTGTAACACTTCTTGTCACATTGTGTTTTTAATAGGTTAATAGGGAGGTCTTGCAGAGCAATAACATTCACATTTAGGAATACATATGTAAAAAGACAATGTATATAGCTTTTAAGGAGATAAATGAGAAACACAAAAAACTAGTTTAAATAAAGTAATTTATAGACTAGTCTAAAATATAACCACCAAATACAATGATTGTTACCGTCACTTAATTAATAAAATTAATTAATAAAAGCTGTATGGAAAGACAGGGTCATATATAGAAAATGAGTAATAAGATCTCAAACATTTACACATGTAATTAAGCTTGGACTCATTGTTCAACACAAATTAACTTTGTGGTTTGTTTTTTTTTAATCTGTGCTATTTCTTTGTGAATATTTGATAATTAGCTTGCAAAGGAGGCTACAAAGGAAAGATTTTATGCAACCATTCAGTAAAGGATACCATTTATAACAACTTGATCACTCATCATTTAACGTTCTCCTCCTTTTTATACAGTTGAAGAAATCTTTAAAAACAACTTAATGATAACAAATTTAAGGCCTGTGTAAAAAGAAATGTGTTCTGGTTTAATTATCAAATATCGTGTGTGTGTGTGTGTGTGTGTGTGTGTATGTGTGTATGTGTGCATGTGTGAAAACCAGGTCACAAGTCCTTGCCTGTAGGGGAACAAACCTGTCCAGCCATCCATAATTTAATTACTAAATCTCCAAAAGCAGACTTAAATTGCTTCAGGGAGTGTAACTTCAAAAACTCAAGAAAAAGTTCCCCATATGGTTTTTCTATATAACTTCCTTCCCAGAAGACAGTAAGATGTTTTTGTGGTAGTCTCTGTCTTCAGAAACACAGTTCCTCCTGTTAGACTTTGTGAAGAGTAAGCTTAACATAGAATGAGAAAATTAAATTATTTTTCAACATAGAGTGTCAAGATTTACTTTGGGGTATTTCAGCTAATACATTATGTATTGTGTTGTAACTTTGAAATCAAATTAATGACTCTATGTGCAAGTCTACAGCTATTAAAAGTGCCACCACCTTCTGCTGCTTTTTAAAAATGATGCTGCATGGCAACAGTTTCTTTAATATACATTACCTAATTGAGCTGCAATTGAAATAGCACCTAAAAAGCCAAATTCATCACTATTAACTACATACCACTGACATTCATACTAGGAAATTGACATTTTCAAATGGTGAGCCTAGGGAAACCTCTTGTCATTAAAATGATATTCTTTGTGCATCAGTTATTTTAGATTATAACCAATGCCAGGGCTGATCCTACTATTACTCAGAGAAACAGGATCAAAATATTTATGTGGATTTCAACATTATCCATGGTCATTATCATCTTATAGTCTTTTCCTGAATTAAAATAATCAACAGTTTAAATTTTTACTTTTAATTTTTATATACCTGTAGAAACATAATGAGCTTCAGAGTTCTGTTTCACTTTTTCTTTTTCTTTTTTTTTTTTTTTTTCCCCCCACCTCAAAGGAATTTTTATTTTGTATTCAGAATTAAGGTAAGGAGTTAATCTAAAAGAAACAGGGTCACAGAACTAAGATCAAGGAAGCCTCATCTTCAAATCCTGTGTTTTTTTCTTTGCTCTGCTTGGCTCTGCTTTGCTCTCTTTGTCTGCCTTACACTGCTAAGCACGTGATTTGTGAGCATTTTAGATAAGTGTCCTGGTTTTATCCAGGACAGTGTTAACTTTCTTCATAGCAGCTAGGTAGTACATAGGTTTTGGTTTTGTAATGAGAAGAAGGCTGGTAACATACTGATGTTTATAGTCACTGTCAGGACAGGCAACGACTTTTCAGCATTTCTGCTGTGCCAGTGTCTGCAGGTGCAGGAGAAGCTGGGAGGGAGCACAGCCCCAACTACTAGCCCAGGATTCGATCTTGGGTTTAGGACTGAGACCCAAATTGGCCAATAATCTATTCCATATCTTGCACATCATGCCCAGTACATAGACAAGGCTCTGTCCAGAAGTTCTGTCTCTGCCTCCAGGTTGTCTCCCTGTGGCTCACCCCTTTCTCAGTCTCTCAGATGCTTGGGCTCTTATCTCCATTCTGGGATTGCGGTTTAGGGACTCTCCCTGCTCTGGGATCATTAGCTGAGAATGTGCTGAACCTTGGTTATCAGGTGGTGAGCAGTTTCACACATTTGTATATTTGTATATATTACTATTATAATAATCATTATTATTATTTCCAATATTATTATTGTTTCGTTAATAAATTGTTCTTATGCCAACCTACGAGTCTCTTTTTTCTTCACCCCTTTAATTCTCTCCCCCGTCCCCAGGAGGGGGAAAGGAGGAGGGTGAGTGAGGAGTTGTGCTATGCTGCTGACAGCCAGAGTAAAACTGCAAGAATAAGAAGAATAAGTGATTCTTACTTTACATTTGTACCAATTATAATTTTTGTGTGAAATATTTTACACAACTTTTTTAGTTCTGTGGGATCCAAAAGAGATTTGGGAGCTTTAATTTTTATGATAATTATTTTATTTTTAGGGGTTTTTTTTAGTAATTTATTAGTTTACTTACTGCATTTGTTATTTCTCAAGACAAACTAGTACTAAACAATGTAATTAAGCTCTCTATATGCTGTCTTGAAAACGCCCCTGAAAGATGCCTTTGGTTTGGTTCCTATTACTCCAACGAATATACTCTATACAAAGACCAAATTCTTCACACATTTGAATCCTTTACTTGTTTTCCAAGTACCAATGCAAAATGCAATTTTCATACTGGTTATTCAACTGTTAATTCAGTTTACACATTACATTACTGAAACTAACTTTTTTCACTTATAATATAGCTGCTTTATGAATACGAAATATATTATTAGGTACAGTTCAAAATAAATCTAAGATCAATTGATGTTTTGGAGATCATAAATGTGTTTTCTGCATCCAAATTACTCATTGCTTCTATGACGTATTCCTCCAGCTAGTGGTCCCTGGTCATCATCTTTGTCTGTAGAGAAACAGCTCCGATCCCAGTCTCATTTCTTCATTTTCATATATTCTTTGAAACCCCATTTATCTGTCTAATCTCTCTATCCCTGTTTCTCCTGTCTAAGAACTCATTCGGAAACAACTATTTAATCCTTCTACAAGAATGGAGCAAAATTCAATTTGTTTATGTAAAGGATGAGAAACTCTGAAGCAACCGCCATGTATGGAGGGTCAGACTATAGTATGCTACTGACAAAGCACTGCTAGGTGAAGGTATTGATATTTTCACATGGTGATGCTACTGTTTCTCACCGTTTTTTAAAAAGTCATAGAAGATAGAGATGTGGTCAGCTCTGTTTTGCTCTTAGATTTCATGGAAGGAGATTCCTGGCTGGGACAGCAGTGTTGCTGTTGTCACATCAAGAGCTAACAGCACCCAGAAAAACTGAGGAGCCTCTATGTGAAAGCAGGAGTCCCTTTGCTCCCAGAGTGAGTGAAAATGAAAGCTAGGAGCTGCTTCTCAGAATCCCAGTTGGATACGCTCTAAAATGATTGTATCTTACTATATTTGCCTCATCCTCGTGTATTTGTTTGTTAACAGGAAAAGGGATCAGAAGACTAGAGTGTATTCTTTCCAGAAATCTCAACTCCATCCTGAGGGCTGCCTAGCAATGCACACTACCAAAAGTAGGGGATCTAGTCTCAATTCAGTGATCTACTACAAAAGTGACCCTTTAGCACCCAGTTATTCAGTCTCCTCAACTTCTCTACTTCTTTTTGTCCTTACTATTTTTATTTTTTTTAAATATAGACTCAAATTTTCCAAACCTTTCTGCAACACAACCTGGTATTGGGCATTCTCTGCCCAGATTTAATGGAGAGCTCTGTAATTGAGATTGCTAGGAAATAACAAATATAATTTTTATAATAATATATAACTTTATAGAAAAATGAGTTACTTGATGCCATGAAAAACACCTCAAAGGCTTTACAGAGTAAGAAATTAACCTGTTTTCAACTGAAAAAGTTGCTTAGATGTCTCAAATTTCTCAGATTATATACATGAGCTTTACAATACCACACGTATGTAAAGCTAAAGACTCAGCTTTGTGGCCTATATTGTTGCAAGTGATTTCTACCCAATCATGGGGAAAAAACATGTATGCATATTTGTGAGAAAAGGAAGAGTTTAGAAATATTTGGGATTAAAATTCACACAAACAAAGCATAGTTACACACATACTAGCCATAAAACTAGGGCAAGAATGTAGGTACTAATTTAATTTACTTTCCATTAACCTATTTTTTGATGTGTAGAAATCTTGGAATTTTTTTTCTCAATTTCTGTTACCTGCAGTGATGTCACCCAGCACTTTTCCTGGTTTATGAAGACTGATTTTAACTTTCCCATTACTCAGATATAAGAGGAAGCCACCTGAATCTTCATGTAGTTTACTAGCTAAGAGGAGTCCCTCCTTGTTCCAGGTGCGAAACTGGAAACTGATGAATACTTTGTCTTGCCCTGATGTTCCTGGCAGTGCCAGGTAACTACTGGAGCTCAGAAATGTAACAGGAACCACCTGTGGCTCTAAACACGAGAAGGACACGTTGCCCTATAAAGAAATGAAACAAATATGACATTAAGAGCATTCAAGGAAAAACAATCATGAGAACTTTTGTATGGAAACTACAGAGTTTCAAAACATTTTGCATAGAACACGTTTGTAATGTTTAAATATGAATCTATTTGAACGTTAGTCTAAAAATCAAGTATGAATACATAAAGGCATCATCAGTTTGAGAAATGTTTACCTAAATATTGGACCAGAACAGATATATCTTCCTGAGCAAAGAGTGACAAGGACCTTTGAGTGAATGAGGTAAGATCCTGAAATACATGGGTGATTCAGGAGTTAGACAGACCTGCTTTGTTTCTGTTTTGGCTCAACCTCAAGAAGCATTAGAGACTTGACAAATTTCTAAATGTCAGATAAAATGCCACTGAACGCAAAGCTTAGTACAAATATTTACAAGGGTCTAAATGTTTGTATGCAGACAAAAACATTGAGCTTGGCTACTGATTGTTTAAGCGAGTGCTCAATCAGAGAAAAAAACATTTTTTCAGACCAAGGAGCATTCTTTCTAAAGCAATGCAACTGGAGATGTGCACTGATCCCAAAAAAATAATTTCAAAATATAAACACTTGCTACTTACAAATGTGAAACACATACTTCATAAAACAGAAGGAAACATGTTTTCAAGCAGGACAATATGGACCAGAACATGAGTTCCATTTAGGCACCTAGCATTTATTTTGTGCCTGACTGCTTCTGAAATCACTGGATCTTAGGTACCTAAATAAGCTTGCAGATGAGTTCACTGATAAACTCCAAGCTTGACCTGCATCTGTGGTTGTCCTGAGTGATATAAATAAGAAGACAGGAATGAGAATAACATGGTTTTTGCATCTGGTGTCATAGTTAATTAATACTTTATGACTCTTGATAGTGATACAATATGCAGTTTGATCTAATGACTTGCTAGTACCATTTGAACTACAAATAATTTGTTCTGTACAGATGATTACTAAACGATTAGTGTCTTTAGAATTAAAAGTACATTTAACTTCCATTCAACACTGAAAGATTTTAAACTTTGGAACATACATAAAACTTTGACCTTATAGTAAAAAGTTAAAATATCTATTTATCTTAGAATCACAGAATAGTTTGGGCTGGAAGGGACCTTTAAAGGTCAACTAATCCAACCCCCTGTAATGAGATGGGACACCTTCAACTAGAGCAGGTTGCTCAGGGCCCAATACAACCTGACCTTGAATGTTTCCAGGGATGGGGCATCTATCACCTCTCTGGGCAACAAGGTGCAGGGTTTCACCACCCTAAATCTACCCTCTTTTAGCTTTAAACCATTACCCCTTGTCCTATTGCAACAAGTCCT